ATTCGTCTCATTATCGATTCCATCGAGATGCGATGACTCTCGCTTTATTCGCGGCACGTCTTTGCGAACAACCGTAATACCCTGTATCGAAGGTGCCGATAGTCTGCGATGTTCTTCTCCGGTTCGTTGAACTTACGGTCTGATAACTTTGTAGCCCGTCGCGTGCGTTCGCTCAACATTTCGCCGAGGGGGAAAAAAACGGAAAACTTTCCCATGGATTTCCGGAGGAAGTAAGCTCATAAATAGCTCCTTAATTCGGTTTACAGCGTGCAAACAACAGTCAAATTTGTACTTTTATTCCGATGCGACGATAAATGAGAGGAACGGTCCGAAAACTACGTTTTCGAGTACATTTTGCAATTTGTCTCCTTTCGCTAAATATTGCACGCCATTGCATTGACAATTTAACATTGTTTTCATTGTATATTATTATCGAGAATTACTATAACAGTTCTTGGATGAAATAACGTAAGAGCAAACAGACACTTGCTTAACGTCTCTCTTTTCCTTGTCTCTTTACTTAAAATTGATGTTAAAATTGCAATCAAGACGACGTCATTTGTAGAAGTTAAACGATTGTGAAAAAGGACGTGTCAGATACTTTTGTGTATAGAAGAATTTAATTTCATTTATAATTTTCATTACCTCAGAGGAAAGAACAATGACTAACGCATGCAATTAATTAGCGATTGACAATAATGCCTTGTCATATATTATTTTCATAACATGACAAAGTGTTTTTATTATAATGGTTCCCCTTGAGAGTGAATCAACCAACTCTGCTGCGGCTATAGTATTAAATACGTTCATTGTGTGCCTCTACTTCTCTCAATACACCACTGTATATTACATTAAAAACTGCTGTAGTACAGTCCGGATGTTTGTTCGAAGCTGTCAAGCTTTATTATTTCAAAGTTGTCAATTGATGCGTCTCTTATCAGATTATTCCGAGGGGAAAATACTCCTAGAAGAAAAATGGGTTCAAGAATTTTATGCAATTGGAGATAAGAACAAAGATGAAGCTTTACTCTACGTATTAGTACTAGAAAAAGTATTTGAAAAAGGAAATTAAGAGCGAGGAGTGGAAAATAGAAGAGACAAAAAAAGTATGCCGAAATTCACACTCCCGATTAAAATATTAACAATGCGTTCAACTGTCTTGATCCAATAGCAAGAACTTGATTCGATCTAGCGAAACGTTTCAAATTAGCTTTTACATTTATTGCCACAAAACATGAAATATTTTCGAAAATCATTACTTTTGGCTGATCTTCGATTATAATATTTCTATGGGATTTTACGAGGGGGAAACCGCTGAGGGCATTGTGGTGTACAGATTTAGGCACTGGGCCTTGCTGTAACATTATAAAGATAAAACACGATAAAACAAGATAAATAAAACAAAATAAGATAATGAGATAAAGTAATGCCCGCTGGGCATTAGTGGGCATTGGTGTACAAGAGTTGGGTCAGCGGTTTCCTCCTCGGGACTTTATAAGACGAATCAGTCGATGATTCAATAAAGATGGAAAATCACCGTACCAATATATGCGCACTACGATATACGATTCTTTTAACAGGTATTTTTGTACGTGAATCACAACCGAGGGGCAAACCGCTGACCACAATCTTGTACACCCACTAATGCCCAGTGGGCATTACTTTATCTTGTTATCTTATTTTATCTAATGCCCAAAAAATGCCTAGTAATGCCGCAAATGTGTACACCACAATGCACCTTCAATGGTTTCCCCCCTCGATCACAACCAAGTCTCATTATAGCATGCATAAAGACATCGTGATAAATTCAGGGTTGGGAAAGTTACTTCATAAAGTATCTAGTTACAATTACAGTTTTTCTCGCTAAGAATGTAACTAGTTACAAGTTACCAATTCTGAAAGGTAGCGTGTTACAGTTGCTGAGAAAAGTAACGAATCGTCACTTTGCAGTTACTTGCAATGGAAATAAAACTATCAAATCTGCATTTGAATTGTAAAGTGTCGATAAAGGTGTCTGTGCGCAAATGCAAGGCCTAATCTGTGGAGGTTTAAAAAATATATAAAGTAACTATTGATGTAACTATTAAATCAGTTGCTACTTATCGAGAAAATGTAACTGACAATAAGTTAAGTTACAGATGGAGAGAAAGTAACGAAGTTAAAGTTGCTAAAAAAAAAAGTAACTATAGCTGTAACTTCGTTACAAGTAACGGAGTTACTTCCCAACCCTGAACATAAAGATGCCAGGTGGTATATCTCATAAACTTTTATAAATGGAATGACTGAAGCGGTACATTGATCAGAAAAGTCATATGATTCCATTTAGAAAGATAGGGGGGTGACTCATATCTGGCAAGCGACTCCACCTAGAACAAAGTTGCACTATGATACCAACAATAAGATGCGATACTCTGGATTCGGTGCATTATTTTGGACAATACCGATGTTACTCGCGAAAATAATCCCGCGGCGAGAACACTGCGTGCAATTTCGGTTTGCGAAAAGCTCTCGTTTGTCCTAGCTTCCAATTACCGCCGCCCCGATACACTTTCTCCAACGGGGCAATTCCGACGAGTTACCGTCATTGTTAACACGCAGGTAGATTTTGAGACAACCCACGCGCGTAAACCCACGTATATATATATATAGACACATCGCTGGCACACGATACATTTAATTCTCGACGACGATACGTAATAGGTATATCTGAATTGGACGCGCGTATAAATAAGCCTACTCGTAGATACGTGCCGTGTACGCGGGCGCTGGAATGCAAACGCGTGCAGGAGCGAATCCTGCATCTCTGTGTGCACCTACACATATCACGTCGCGTCTCGTCACGTCTCACGTCACGTCACGCGTGCGGGGAGATGTGCGTACGTACTTGCGTGTATGAAGGGCTGCGTCACGCTGCGTGCAATCGTGCGACGATACGTCCGAGGCTGCGCTCCCGTAGCGCGCTTCCCTGGGCTCTCTTTTCCTTTTTATGGCTCGCACTCACATCGCACGGGACGCACACACGGCGAGGGAGGAGGGTGGGCGACAGAAGAGACGGGGAGGCTACGGGCGTGACGCTCACGCACCGCGGAAACATCGGCGAAGTTTCATCGCTCGCACGACGCCCAGTCGACCTATTTCGACTGGCTCTCGCGAATCTCGCGATGCGACTCACCACGGCGACGACGCGGCGGCGGCGGCGGCGGCGGCGGCGGCGGCGAATCCACCGTTGACCATTCCCTGCGACCAGTCCAGCTCGACGCCGACGCGTTCGACTGCACAACACCTACTGGACTCCACTACTCTACTGCACGTCGAGTCGCGATCAGTTGTGGCACGTCCGCTGGTCCGCGCCTCCGCGGTGCGTCGAGCAGTGGCGACATCCACGATCACGCGCTAAACGCCACGCCGCTAACCGGGCCAGACCCGAGCAGCGTTCTATTATGCTGCATTGCATTCACGTACCCCCATACATACGTCGTACATACATCGTTCATGCGGCGTCACGATCTATCCATTGTCGTTCCACGGCGAATAACAACCTGCTACTTGTCCCGAAGAGATCCGTTACGGTTTTCTCATTTTATATACAATGTATACAGGGTGTCCCAGGAGGAAAGGTCAATACTCTGGGAGATGATAGCATCGGTCATTTTAAGCAAAAATGTTCATATGAATAAACGTCTCATTCCCCACTGTTTCCGAGATAGAGCTACTTGAAGTGGCAAAATTTTACTGATAAGAAATAATAGGATTAGATTTTGTTACATTTCAATAGATATCCTCGAACATTCAAGGAAAGTATCAAATCTCTGAAGATCTGATGATTTTTAAAATAGAATCCCATGAGATATAATTAATGGTTACATGATTGAGACATATACAGGGTGTCCCAGGAGGAAAGGTGAATACTCTGGGAGGTGATAGTATCGGTCATTTTAAGCAAAAATGTGCATGTGAATAAACGTCTCATTCCCCATTGTTTCCGAGATAGAGCTACTTGAATGTATGTACAGTTGCAAAATTATTGATAAGAAATAATAGGATTAGATGTTGTTACATTTCAATAGACATCCTTGAACATTCAAGGAAAGTATCAAATCTCTGAAGGCCTGATGATTTTTAGAATCGAATCCCATGAGATATAATTAAATGTTACATGATTGTGTGTGTGAGACATATACAGGATGTCCCAGGAGGAAAGGTGAATACTCTGGGAGGTGATAGTATCGGTCATTTTAAGCAAAAATGTTCATGTGAATAAACGTCTCATTCCCCACTGTTTCCGAGATAGAGCTACTTGAATGTATGTACAGTTGCAAAATTATTGATAAGAAATAATAGGATTAGATGTTGTTACATTTCAATAGACATCCTTGAACATTCAAGGAAAGTATCAAATCTCTGAAGGTCTGATGATTTTTAGAATCGGATCCCATGAGATATAATTAAATGTTACATGATTGAGACATATACAGGGTGTCTCAGGAGGAAAGGATCCCATGAGATATAATTAAATGTTACATGACATTTAATTAGACATATACAGGGTGTCCCAGGAGGAAAGGTCAATACTCTGGAAGATGATAGCATCGGTCATTTTAAGCAAAAATGTTCATATGAATAAACGTCTCATTCCCCATTGTTTCCGAG